GGACAATGTTATATTAAATATTTAATATTAATTATCAGTCATTCTTTTACAAATAAAATAAAAATGATTTTTTCTATGTATTATCATGCATGACTACACTAATATTTTTAATGATTCAAAGTCAAAAATTATCTACTGTATCATAGTAAATTTTATGTTACCTACACTCTACCCTTAACTTGTAGCTTGATTATTTATGGCCTCAAAGGTTGTTGAAGCTAAATCAAAGGATGTAATTTTTATTAAAAACTTGATCGTTTTAGAATTATTTTATTATAATTTATTTTAAGTGTGACATAATGATCGTCACTGTAAAAAATTTATCCTTTCAGTTGTTATGAAAAATCACATGACTAAACTCTACCCTTAACAGTCAGTGTGCAAATCCTTTCTCTTTTTTTTAATTAGTGTGTGTAACATTTGCTTGAATGCCAATAATTTCTTTTAACATTTATAACACATAAACTTCTTAATAGATTAAAAAAATGATATATATAAAAATTTTTCTTGAAGTTTCAATAAATATTTTGGCACTTTTTATTTAAAATAAAGCTTGCTTTTTGAACTCACAATAATGGGTTAAAATATACATGAAAATTTACACTAAAAACGTTGATTCTTTTCAACAAGGCAGCTTTATGCTGATTACAATAGTCAATAAACCAAAGCGAACCTTGTTCTTTAGACTTCATTAGTACCATAAAGACGACTCACTTGATGGAATTTTCAAAAATATATAAAACATATATTTTCATTACTTTCTATTGAGCAATGTCACTTAGATCTGCATTCATATTTAAAGTAGGTAAAATAGTTTAATGTTTATTCTTCAGAAATTTATTCTTGGATAACAGATGTAATGTAGTTTTAGCTTATAATGTAGTTACATATCTTGATCTTTTTTATTGACAAATATGTCTATATTACAATTCAAAGAAGAAAGCAAAACGATCACAAAGGTTATTGCGACCACCATCAAAAGTTGTGAATAACATCTATATTCTTGATCGGTATTATTTGGATAGTGTGTCTAAAGGTTGGTTGGTAAGCATCATCATAATTTATGTCATCGCCATATCTTGTCAATTCTATCTTCAATATATTATCATAATATGTAATAAAAAAGTTAATTCTGAAATTTCAAAAGATTTATAATTTAACAAAAAGTCAAAAGTTTAATTTGAATATTAATTGAATTGTAAATTACAAGTATCTCTATCCCGATTCTATTTAATTATTTATATCTATAATAAAAGAATCAAATTAATAATATAAT